GCAAACCTGTCCTGGCACGGTGTGTGTCCTGGCACGCCCGAGGGGACGTTAGTTGTCAAGTAATCAAGCGCTGCCGACATCTACTTTCGGCCCCCACATGGTTACTTTGCCAAGCACAAACGGAGTGTGCTTATAGCAATCACATGAACCACATCTAACGTACCTATGCGTACTACAAAAAGTCCTGTTCGATTATTCTTAACCAAGCACTGTACAAATTGTGACGTAATTAGATCCGCTTGGTTGTACTGTGGTTTTTACATGAAGTAGTGTCAACCCTCAGGGGTGGCACAGAACTAGAATCTTCGATTTGTATGGACAGAGGCCTATTTCATATGGGAGCTAACACGAGCGTTGCCCTCTTTTTGATCAGTGCCACCCTCAGGGGTTGACACTACTTCATGTAAAAACCACAGTATATACTGAACGTTGTGCAACTCAATAAAGGCAATCTTGAAATCAATCGATTTTGGGATTGAGCGTGGAGTCCAGCGTGAGGGGCTAGCGTGAGCATTGAGTATTTAGTGTGAGTATTTAGTGTGAGTATTTAGCGTGAGTGTTTAGCGCGAGTGTTTAATGTAAGGGTTCATACACGGTGATGGCTTACCGACGCTTGGCAAGTGATGTGAAGTTGTTGCAGCACCACGACGGCCACGCCTCCGCCTCCGTTTCCACCACGAGACCATCCATCTCCAATGCCATCCATGCCAGGCCAGCCAATTCTCCACTCCGACTCAAGGGCCCAGCGCCTTGGTCCATTGCTCGACCAACGCTGTGTGAAGCTGCTGTTAGCTGTGGTTGACTAACATCCTGCCGTGATTCCTTTGTCCCCATTAGTCCTCTGTCTTGCAACTGCATTAACCAACCACACGACCTTGTACAGTATAAATCTCGACTCCTTGCTGCCTCTCATCGCTTTTTTTGCCTCACCCGCTCACTATATTCATCACTTATCCACACAGCTCGACACACAGCAGCATACACATCACCGTCCTTGCGCCCTTGGCTCTCCCCTACCGGCTCTGAGCACGCCTAGTGTCCCAGATCCAATGTACATCAACGAGCTCCCGTTTGAAATCCTTTCCAAGGTCCTCGAGGAAGCCGCCCGTGCCAATATACGCGATGGCCCTAGGTTCACCTTCGGCCTGTCGCAGCCACCAATGCCCTACCAAAAGGCAACCTTCCAGCGCTACGTGAGGGGCCCTGTGCCGCCAGAGATGTTGCGGTGGGACGCTACATCTGCTATGCGGCTGG